GCTCCGTCTTGTCACCATGTAACACATGTGAGTAAATCGTTGTCAGTAAATAAGGCTATTGTTACGATTAGAAATTGTGCATTAACCAGATTATATTTATTTTGTTTCATTTGTTTTTAGCGTAACATTAACGTTAGTTCATGGCCGAATCTAAACGGCCAGCAGCGAATATTTACCAATGTTTACTGTCGTTTACTTTGCACATCTTAGAAATGTTGCCAAAGTTCCTCTGGATTTAGTTTCTTCATGTCATTCCAGAAAGACTGGATGATGAGCAGGTCAGATCTCTGTGGCTGTTGTCATACTGACTGTGCAGACGATTTTCTCCCTTTATACGTTAATTACAGCAAAGTTAATGACAAAATTAATGTTTGGAAATGTAAATTGATATTTTCTGTAGCATGCCAGTTTGATATATCAATACCACCCCCCCCCACCCACCCAATTACTAGTAACGTTTGCCTAGGACTTTAGCACAGTAGCCTACTATTTAAGCCTTTTCCCCTCTGCGCTTTAATTATTATCACTATAAATGATCACAATCTCCCATATGATCTGATGAAAGTACTTTTGTTTGATAGTAATGTATAGTGTCTGTATGGTATCTGTAAATGTTTAGTGTGTGAAATTGTTGGACAACCACTACACACACATTAAACAGGAAAATAAACATGTCTATAGCTTACTAAAAGCCTTTCTGTCTGTTCATATATTTTATATAAATGCAGAGCAGCAAGACCCATGGGATTTCATCAGCCACTCACCATCAGAGTCCTCAGTGGAAGCTGAGAAGAGCAGAAGAGGAAGCCAAGCAAGAGATGCCAGAAAAAAAGGGGGAAGGAAATAATGTGTTATTTAGCTGTTTGAGTATAGGCAGGCGTAGTGGGTAGCACAATCGCCTCACAGCAAGAAGGTCGCTGGTTCGAGCCTCGGCTGGGTCAGTTGGCATTTCTGTGTGGAGTTTGCATGTTCTCCCCATGTTAGCGTGGGTTTCCTCCGGGTGCTCCCACAAGTCCAAAAATATGTGGTGACATTGGGTAAGGTAAAATTGTCCGTAGTGTATGTGTGTGAATGAGTATGTATGGATGTTTCCCAGTGATGGGTTGCAGCTGGGTGGCAACACGGTGGCACAGTAGGTAGTGCTGTTTCCTCACATCAAGAAGGTTTCTGCATGGAGTTCTCCCTGCGTTCGCGTGGGTTTCCTCCGGGTGCTCCGGTTTCCCTCACAGTCCAAAGACATGCGGTACAGGTGAATTGGGTAGACTAAATTGTCCGTAGTGAATGCATGTGAGTGAGTGTGTATGGATGTTTCCCAGAGATGGGTTGCAGCTGGAAGGGCATCCACTGCGTAAAACATATGCTGGATAAGATGGTGGTTTATTCCACTGTGGCGACCCCAGATTAACAAAAGGACAAAGCCGAAGAGAAAATGAATGAGTATAGGCAATGATAGACAAGACAATGTTTGATTAATATGAAGTCTTTTAAAATGCTTATTTATTAAAATAAAGGTTACAAAGTAAAGAAGAAATATATTGTGTGTTTGTATATTTATTTCACTGCCTTTAAGATTTTACATTGTAAACTAAAGGGAACAAGGGGGGAACAAATGTTGTATTTACCCTTTAACTACAGGTAACAAGAGAGGAACAAAGCTTCACTTTAATTTACAACCCTCAAATGTGGTATTTACCCTGTAAGTACAGGGAACAAGGAGGTAACAAGAGAGGAACAAAGCTTCACTTTAATTTACAACCCTCAAATGTGGTATTTACCCTGTAAGTACAGGGAACAAGGAGGTAACAAGAGAGGAACAAAGCTTCACTTTAATTTACAACCCTCAAATGTGGTATTTACCCTGTAAGTACAGGTAACAAGGGAGGAACAAAGCTTCACTTTAATTTACAACCCTCAAATGTGGTATTTACCCTGTAAGTACAGGGAACAAGGAGGGAACAAATACTGTATTTACCCTTTAACTACAGGGAACAAAGAGGGAAGAAGCTGAACCTTAACATACTAGTGTATACTTGAACACTAAGAACAGAGTAAACTACAGCAGCAGTTTTTATTGATTGAAGACCAAATTACTAGATTTTTCTATAAAGCATCAGCTATACATTTACTGAAATGCAACAGTTAGCCCCCCTGTGCAACAGCAGTAAAGATGCGAGCCTGTTTTAATCTGCATTGAACCCTTATAGGCCTATGTCATGCAAAGTTATTTGTTGATAGTGAGTTATGGAGACATTGATGGCTTTGGTGAGATCGACGAGTAAACATAAGGTAAGTAGTGTATGGAAATATATTTTATATTGAATTGCAGATTTAAAATACATACAGTATACAATAAGGGTTCATAATTTCACAGGTTGTAAACCTTTTATTCATTAAACACCCCATATAAAACCCAAGCACTGAATAAGAATACTAATGTACTCACGCAGGTGCATATACAGTACATTTGCAGATAGCAATAGGTTATCACCATCCTTGCATAATTCTTTATATGTATACAATACTTGAAGAAATGTACATCGTAAACTTAATATACTTCTTTGCGTGATGGATATCTTATTGTTACTCCCCTTTTACGCAAACATTATGGTTTGTTCTTTTGCAATTTAAAGAAAAGTACAACCTTATTTCACTGTACTTACGCGGTACCTTTTATGCTAAATATCTGGTTGTTATCCCCTTATTACCCGAGCATTACAGTTTGTTCCCTTATACTTACGTAAACGTTATTTATACTTACACTATAGGTACAGAAAAGTACACCGTTATTTCACTGTACTTACGCGGTCATTTTCGTGATGAACATCTGGTTGTTACCCCCTTTTTACCCAAGCATTACGGTTTGTTCCCTCATACCTACACATACGTTCATTATACTTACACAGTACGTACAGAAAAGTACACTGTAATTTCACTGTACTTACGCGGTACTTTGCGGGTTGTAAAAGAAAGCGTTACCAAAAACTCTCTTAGGCCTTACTCTAGTTCTAAATGATCTGAGCACAAACACTTTTTATAATTATCACTTTTTGTGCATATTGTCTCTTCTTGTTGAATTGGTTAATGCCTCCTCGTTTGTAAATTGTTTTAGACAAAAACTAATGACTAACTGACTTAATGTAAATGTAATGCTGCTCTATTTATGTGTGAATATCACGATTTATTCGCGTGCTATTAGTCGTGTAAACATTTTGAGTTTACTCGCTTCATTTGCGCATCAATATGGCTTCATTCAGTGTCAGCAGGAGAATTTCCCCCCAGAACACAAACAACAGACACTATGGCTTCTAATTTGACAATTCATGCACAAAGTCCAAAGCACAGGGCGCAAAAGCATTAAGGGCGTGTCAGAATCCACTTTTGCTATTTTAAAGACGAAAAATACTGCTTTGCGTTGTGGCGCATGGTCTTAGAGGGTATAGCTTATTCTTTTAATGAGTTATAGGTGTGTTTTGAGAATAAAGCAGTCAGGGTCTTATCTCCCATTCCCTTTTAGAGCCAGTTGCGTCGCGCCATAGCGCATTTGCTATTTACATGACAGACTTTGTAAGTGGAAAAACTTATTGCTTCACTAGAGAGAAAACAGTTAAACAGCGCATCTACAGTGTGAGAATGAGAGATGAGCCTCTTTATTTTTTACTTTTACCTTCACTTTCACTCTCGTGCATTGACATCCATTAGCATATACATAGTTAATTTAATTTGCTAAGCGCGAAGATTTGTGTCAAAACTATTTCTAAATTCAGTTTTCATTTCCAGCAAATGAATAAATGAACAGTAATAACGAAGTGTGTTAACAAATTGAGTTATATCCAAACATGCTGCGCCCCAAATGGTCTAAAACCTGACAGGTGGACAAATCTAAGCTTGTTTTTAATAAAACAAATATAAATATGCATATAATAAATAAAACTACCATTACTAATAATATTATACAAGAGCAAATTGTTATGAATAAACTGAAAAAGCCCCTCGAGATGAAGAAGGCATGAAAGTATGGTTTTTATGTTTATGTAGGCTAAAAAATTATAATTTTTGTAAAATTTTAGTCTTTTAATTCTTTTTTATTTGTTAAGATATTTGCGTATTGCTGTACACCCTTTGTGTATTAGGCAATGTGTAAGCGTGGCACAACAAATAACGTGCTCTGCGCTGGACTTTAGACCTGCATTGATCTAGTCTACTGAATAGTCTATTATAGTACCTCAAAATAGCAATGCACTTTAACACACCTCCTTTTTTAGACCAGAACGCCTATGGGCGCACATATGAGTGCAAAAGCATGGTGCAAAACGTCAAATTGACTCTTTTGCCAAGCTGAAACTAGCAAACAACGATTGCGTTGCGCCTTGCGTCAGGTGTATGATAGGGGCCCAATGTCTTAATCACACCCCTACAAAAGCAAGCTTCTGATTGGGTAATGCGGTGCAAATGTCCGCTGAAGTTCAGATTTTCCAACTCGAGTGATTCGTGCGATAGGTGAGTTAAGTGCATCAAACACTCAAAATTCTCAACTCACGTCACTTTATTTGTGTGAATCGTGTTATTCGTGCTGCCTCATTCACGCAATTCGTGCAGCAGGATGTCTACTTGCGTCTTTGCATTGACTGAGCATGTAAATCACTTGCGCTTGATAGTTCATCCACGTATGGTGTGAACGCAGCATTATGAAGATTTTAATGAAGTTTGCCAACAATTTATAAACGTCTCTCATTATATTCAGTCACATGCATACATAATGTTTTGTTGTACTTATTATGGAATGGACACACCCTAGGAATGGCAGATGGAACCTAATCTGTCAACAGACAGACTTTAGATTCACAGCACACATTTATAGAATCCCAGCTCAGCCCCCAGCTCACCCTCCCACAGACCTCATGTGAGACAGTCCCATTAGGTCGTCAACTATTCTGATGAACCCCAACAGCTGTGACTTGAGTCTTCTCAGCATAAATACTAGGACACTGTTATTTAGCCCCTTTTATCCATGCACAAGCTGCACTGAGCCCTTAAGAATCAAGATCTGGACCAGATTTCTGTTTTATATCTAATATTCAGAGATTCCTTTGCTAAAAGAATTACTATCAAAAAAATTCTTTATTTTATCTGTCAATTGGCAAGTGGATACTGGACAAAATGCGTAAGGAAACCAAGACAAAAGTCTTATTTTTTGTGATCTTGGTGGGCTCGGTGTGCATGTTTACAGCAGTGGTGACAGACCACTGGGCCGTGTTGAGTCCTCGAGTGGACAACATAAACACAACATGTGAGGCAGTTCACTTCGGCCTTTGGAAACTTTGTAAAAAACACATCTATATTGAGGATAAGGAATACGTTGGTAAAGGCTGTGGACCTATTAGCTTACCTGGAGGTAAGTGACAATGTGTGAAATTTTGATCAGATAAGCAGGCCTCTCACTCAATATGACGCTCAGCAAAAATGTGTAATAATTTGATGTTTATTTATTTATTTATTTTTGATTTTACAGTATAAGGTGATATTTGCTAAGCATATTTAAAAGCATTTAGTCTAGATCAAAGTAAACTGGACCTTGCTAGATAAAAATCTTAAGGCTGTATATCTCAAGGCTTTATAAGGTTAAATAATAGAGAGCATGTCTTTATCAAATGAAGAATTTTTTTTTCTCATGACCATAGTGTTTGCAGGATGTAAAATGCAGCTAAAGTGGACTGTATAGTGCTAAATGTACTGTAAAGGTAGAGACTGTCCATTTATATTCAATTAAATTTTTTATGATATTGGGGCACAGAGTTTAGAACCGAACATGAAAAAGTCTTACTCTTAAAAAGTTACTCTTTAAATCAGTATATAGTGTCTTAAAAGTGAATGGATTTTTTGAAGTTTTTTTATGCTACCCTATCACCTCATCAATCTAATTCTAACTTAATAATACTTTGTATTATATTTAATAATTATTTGTTATTATACTAATTTATTATTATTTATACTAATTATTTATACTAATTATACTAATTTAATAAATATTTTTTGTGTAAGAGACAAATTATAAAGGATTTAAATAGAATCAGTGGCGCAGTAGGTAGCGCTGTTGCCTCTTCTTGCTGAAGGTCGCTGGTTCGAGCCTTCGCTGGGTCAGTTGGCGTTTCTGTGTGGAGTTTGCATGTTGCTGCTGGAGGGCATTCGCTGCGTAAAAACGTGCTGGATAAGTTGCCGATTTATTCTGCTGTGGCGACCCCGGATTAATAAAGGGACTGAGCTGAAAAAAAAAATGAAAGAATGAATACAGAATCATACAGGATAATTGTACAGGATTTGCATCAATACTTGGTTTCTTATAATTCCATTATATATAATATATGGGTTATTCTGAACTATAAGGGTGCCCCCCAAAAATGGAAAGATCCTGTTTGGAAACCATCTTAGATAATAAAAGAGAACATGCTCCAAGACATTTTACTTGCTTTAAAATCAAGCAACATTTCGTCACCTTAGAATTGTAAGGTTCTATCTGACATTATTGTCAAAAATGAGTTATTGACATATTCTTATTAAATGACAACTTATTTACATTATGGGATGTTTTTTTTAAGTTGTTTACATTTGAAGACATAGTTACACACATATTGTTTGCTATATGGAATGCAAAAACTTCGAAGCTCAATATCTCAAAATCATTCAGAGCTCAGATAGAACCTTACAATTCCAAGATTATGATTTATCTATTAATTATTTAAAAGGAAAAAAATAAATAATTGTGTTTAATAAAGTCCCCTCCCTCAATTTAATTGAGCAATTCCACTGCAAATCTACAACCAAAAAAGTCACATGGGTTTTCCCAGAGATCCATCATAGCTCGATAGCTTTGTAGGTCTACTGGTATTTCCCTGCCTGTGGGACTTGTTGTGGGTGTTATGACTATGACACCTCCTGCACTGAGATCACAGCTATAGTAGGAAAGCTGTAAGCAGAATGACAGGAAGTGCTTAACAGGTGTGGACTATCACTGACTCATGAACATGACAGACAAAAAGTGATAATGATACCGGTTAAAAGTATAAAATATAAATAGTTCAAAAAGTAATACTGCTCACACTCATATTTAGCAGCGTGTTTTGCACTAATTATGAAAAGTGTTAGAGGCCATTTAATAACGATATATTTAGTGAAATAAAAGCAGTCACTTTTCTATTAATACCTAATTACACACATCATTTCCACTGTTCTTCTGGTTTACTTGTAATAAGGAAATAAGTAATGGGAAAATTGAGAAATATGTTAGATTCCATCTTGGCCTGGATTGCATCAAATACTAGATGTCACTCTTCCTTGCTTCTGTTACAGAACTTCCGTTTCCTTCACTGCTCCTGGAGGCGCACCAAGAATGCATATTTTGGATGTCTTTTTTATCTGATTTATTTAGTTCAGGATTATATTATAAATTGCATCATTCACATGCACACTCATACACTACAGTTAATTTTGTTTACCCAATTCACCTATAGCGCATGCTTTTGGACTGTGGGGGAAACAAGAGCACTTGGAGAACCACCTCAACACAGAGAAAACATGCAAACTCCACACAGAAATGCCAACTGGCCCAGCTGGGACTCGAATCAGCAACATTCTTGCTGTGAGGCAACAGTGCTTACCACTGAGCCATTGTGCTGCCCCATTACAATATTATACATCTGAATATAAAAGGAAGGCATTAAATACTATTGAAACAAGATGAAAAAGTATATCTTGATGGGTCAACATGGGTCTATTATATTAGATTTATTATAAAGCTGTCTGAAATATTTAATTCTTATTGTTCAGTCATGACATTCCAAATGGTATATTAGAGATACAGTAAATTTAGGTGGTTGTTATTGTATAATATATTCAGACAGGCTTATCGCCAACTCGACACAGAGGGCAGCTGTATAAGACTGAAGGGTTTTATTCTGCTATAACAACCGCATCAATGTTCTACGCTTGATACAAGTCGACATAAACAAAAATAGCCAAATGGAGCATACAATAGCCTATGTATTCTTTACACATGTATTGTTTTTATGTTGTGAGTGACCTATCAGAATCAAGTATTCCAGAGAGTTGTATAATAATCGGCAATAGTATCTGGCTGCAGACTTGCACATGAACTCAATAAAGCTGACATAACTCTGAGGGGTAGGGTTAGGGGCAGGGTTCAGTTTGAGCATATAGACAGTCTCAGTTTGCATGTAAATCTGGTCAGGATGTTACCAGCATGTAACCAGACCCTCCTCATAATCTGAGATTACAGCCAGGATGTACTTTATCCCTTGCTTAGCATAAATAGATGTTAGCTTAGTTTTTCTATTTGCTGTGATAATCAATATAATTACTAATTGGTGGGTCAAAAGAGTACTTGAATTGCAAGATATTTGAACTTCAATCTAAACATTTAAAGGTTGTTTATTTTTAAGGTGTCCTTGTTACAGTTATAGAACTATTCATTTAATACACTGAAAAAATGATGTCTGCAAAATCGTTGCAAACAATTTATGTGTTGAATTTAAACAAACTAAATTAAGTAATGTTCAAGATAATTTGTTTAAATTCAGCCCAAATAAACTGTTTACAACCACTTAAGTAAAAAAAAAGTAAATCCCAGGAATCATCTTTGAATATTATTTTTCTGTGTATACTTGGTATTGTTTATTAATCCAATGTACTTACTTTATGGTTAGGGTTAAAACATGGATTAGAGTTTGGGTTTGTTACATGTAATTATGCATAATTAATAATAATTGCTATAGTAAATAGATGGAAAGTGTAAAAGGACACCTTAAAATAAAGTGTTACTCATTTTATTTACGCTTTAAATATGTCAAAATATAGCCAGCTATGTTAGTACGTGTGTGACTAGACTTGTAAATGCAGTCAGTAAAAGCTATAATTAGACTGTGTAAATAGTCAGCTGCCCCGAGAGGGGAGACACGCTGAATTTAAGAGTGGTACAATTCCATTACTATGACTGACGGTCACATCTGAGAGAATAGTATAGATTCCTACCTCTTATTCTAAACACACAAACACCTATTGACCTTGAATAATACATGTTTGACAGCAGCCTAAATCATTAGATAACCCCCCAAATTAAAGCTTATTTTATTATGACAGTGACATGATTTTTGAGAACATAATTTTGATTTTGCAGACCTGTATATTAAATCTAAATAAAATCTTGACTTAAATGCTGCTTTTCTCCATGTTTTATAAGCTGCTATCTATCTATCTATCTATCTATCTATCTATCTATCTATCTATCTATCTATCTATCTATCTATCTATCTATCTATCTATCTATCTATCTATCTCTCTCTCTCTCTCTCTCTCTCTCTCTCTCTCTCTCTCTCTCTCTCTCTCTCTCTCTCTATATATATATATAATATATATAATTAAATATAATTTCCTGTTATAAAAAAAGTTTGAATTACTTTTTTTTTTTTTTTTTTTGGTTTGGTTTGGTTTGGTCTGTACAACTACATTTAACACAATTATTTAACCTAAATCTAAAATTTCTTTATTACAGTTTTTCTCCATTGGTTTGGCTCATTTCTTGAACAGAAATTACATTCTGAAAATTCTAAGATCATTTGGCAAAACAGTGTTACAGTTTAGCACAACACTATTATAACTCACTTGCAAAAGCTCATATCTCTCCAAAAACAGTTCAATCATGCATTAAAACTAAATTCCTTTTCCATATAGAAAGTCAGTGCCACAAAAATGGCAAATATCCTTCTCAATTGCTTTGGCTCATTTCTTGAAACAGCCCGGACATTCTCAACACTGCTTTTGCCAAAATAATGTGGATGGTTCGCCACGACACCATGGTTCACCTGCAACAGCTCATACCTTTGCCAAAACAGTTCACTCATGTGTCAAAACTAAATTTCCTTCTCATTTAAACAGTCAGTGCCCCTAAAATGCTTCGTCCCTTTAGCATTGTGCAAGCACTGCAAGTCAAAATGTTTAGATGTTGTAGGACCACTAAAATATCCCTCATGTCAGCCCAGTCCTTCATTGACAATGGTTACTGTACTGTTTTTGTCTAGCTAACAGAATGCAATGTATAAAACTGAAAAAAAAAAAGAAATACGATTTTAGGGTAAGAGTAGCCTCCAAGGTTTGACGTCACACATTGCACTCATACTACCAAGGAAATGGTAACTCCTTTTTTTTTACTGTAATGATTCACCACACACAAAGTAACTTCCATATATCAGAGCAAAAAGAAACTGTATACAACATTATAAACTGTAATATAAACACACAAACAAAAAACAAGAGTGCTATAAATAAAACTGGAGTTTCATAACAGTTCTTCACTGCCCGCTGTCCTCACCCTCTTGACCATCCACACGCTGCAGTCTGTGTGGCCACAGATTCTCGTCCACATCACAGCGTATATTCTCTCTTGCGATGCAACGAGGGAAGAAAGGGCGTGAATGTTGCAACCACCCCCCACAATGATCAAATGTTCCAAGGATTCACCTAATGGTATTCATGGTATTATGGTCTTGACTAATTTTCACAGTTTAACAAACTATTGTGCATGTGATGACTTATACAATGAAATGACGCTGACACATAGTGGAGAGAACAACCATTAGACTGAGAATTAACAATCAGTTTAGATCAACAAGATCTATTCACTTGGAAATTGTGCTAAATGTAGCAATATGGACTAAATCTGCTAAAATCTGTACCTAATCATTTGCAAAGATGTACTAAGACATTTGCAATTTGATTAAATGAATGAGAAGTTTAATTCTGCTGTGAACAATTGCCAAGTGGTTTGGAGGTTTGTCCATGTTGTTTTGAGAATGTAATGTAATGTTTCAAGAAATGAGCCAAACCAATGGAGAAAAACTGTAACAAAAATATTCTTTTTTTTTTTTTTTAGCAAAACTGATAAATCAAACACTCAAACGATCAAATAATAAATCAAAATGCATTCTCAAATATGAAATCAAATGTATTTAATATTTAATTTTCATAAACAACTCCTGTAATAATTAAATGACTAATCAAATGCTCAAATTATAATTCAAATGGAGGAACCAGTTGCACACACACAGCTGGAAGCTCATGATGGACTAATTACTATAGGACTATTAAGACACTTCTTTCACACAGACTCTTTGCTGAGTCTTGTTTTCCCCGTGAAGCATTACAAGTAGTTTTTCCTGTTTGTATTGGCTTACCTTGCAATTTTTTTTACATTGTATATATTAAAAAGGCATGTTTGTGTGTAAATTACAACATTTAGTGCCATTAACAATCAACAAGGTGTGTTTGATATTTGGACCTGACTGACCTGACCTGGCTGACATCAATCATAAAACTAAATAATTACAGCTAAAAAACATCAGTTATTAACATATAAAAATAGATGGTCCCATCAAAGCCATTTTTTGTCCTCTATGTTCATTCTTTATTCTGGAAGTCTGATGGAACTCTCGAGACTTTCACAGTTGTCAAGTAACACTATTTATATTTAGCTGTGAAATTTCAAGGGATGTAAAAAAACTGCAGCTGACACTGAAGCAACAGGAAACTCAGAAGTATTCTTTTGAGTGGCTGAATAGAAAAGCAAGTATTTAATAAATTACACAGCAGCAAAAGTAGAATATTCCCACTTGGAAATTGTTAAATTAGTTTTTTTAAAAAGGTATAATAAAAAGAATACTATTGATAAAACCACCATCATCATTATTATGTTTTTCCCCCCAGAAATGAACTGTTCTTACTTCAGACACTTCACGCCAGGGAAAGATTCTGACATCTTTGAAGTTAAAACTCAGAGAGGTGAGTTAAAATAGTCAAACCAATACTTCAAATAATACTGTATTAGTTGGTGAATGCTTTTGTGGAACTTAGTATTTCTAAAGCACAGACCTGGCAATTCTTTCATTGAACTGTTTGTTTTGAATAAGAGAAGTAGAAAAATGAAAACATAATGAATGAAGAAATTATGTGTCGGATTCAAGTGCTTACAAATTTGTTGTTCATTATTGTTATTAATGTAATCAAGATTCTTGGAAATATTTTCAGGTTTTTTGAATACTTTAAGATTACTCTTGGTTTATGTATAACATTGATTATTGAGATTATTGTATCCTGATTTTTGTTTTCCTAGGTTTTTCTTTAATTTATTTATGCCAATGTTTCCCAACTCAGGTTTATTAAAGAAATGCAAACGGGTCTGGGATTTGGTGAAAATCTAATAATTAAATAAAAATGTAAAATTCCAACACAGAAACAAACAAATAAAATCTTACCTACACAGTAAAAAAAGTTGACTCAACACTAAATTGTAAGGCAACTTGCTGCAGAGCTTTTTTGAGTCAATCTCAAAAAGGTTGTTTCAACAAAAAAGCTCTGCAACAAGTTGCCTTAAAATTTTAAGTTTAGTCAGCTTTTTTTTCCAGTGCACTTTATAAAGAGTTAAAATGCAAAAACTTCTATTTTGTCTTCTAAACTGAGCTTTTTTTCCAGGCTCTTGTGTGTAGGTTCAACACTTCACTGTAATTGTGATGTTCTTTTTACTGCCTAAAAAATGAAACAACTAAATAGGCTGAGAAAAATGCTAATTCCATATGGCATTTAGAGGTTTTTGCTAAACTATTACTATATAGATCCTTTATTCGTTAATGTGAATGCCATTTGACTATTAACCAAAATCAATAATTAAATGTGTTGTTAAATTATTCAAACTTAAATTTCAGTGAGACATATTAAAATACAAATATTTATTGAACAATCTAATCAGAATCTCCAGTTACATAAACATGCTTTAATGAGTTTATTACAACAGTGATTTCATTACACAGTCAAAGTTTTCTAGGCTTGAAATCAGAGTTAGGGATATAGAGAAATTAAGTTACATCTGAATTACTGACTCAGGTAAAATTTCAAGTAAATTTAACTAGTAATAATTACCCAACACTGCTTATACAGAATAATACCCCAGATAACAGGAAGCATCAGAATATAGAAGCTGTTTATAGAGAACGTTCGAGGTTACTAAAGTAACCCTTCGTTCCCCGAGGAGGGGAACGGAAGCACTATAAGTGGATTTGATTTGTAAAATCCACGCATTGGGAGGTTCGGTTCAGAAGCTACTCGTCTGAAAGAGTATTGAACGGGCCAATTAAGAATGAATTGGCAGCGCAAGCCTGCGCAGGTGAGCGGCATAAGCAATCAACTGAGTATATAAGCTCACCTGGCGCCAGCAGACGCTATCCTTTTTAAGCTGAAGAGACTTTCAACAGCTAAGGGACAGTCATTATGGCGACGGAGTATAGTGCTTCCGTTCCCCTCCTCGGGGAACGAAGGGTTACTTTAGTAACCTCGAACGTTCCCCTTCGGGGGGAACTTCAGCACTATAAGTGGATTTGATTTGTAAAATCCACGCATTGGGAGCCCATTGAAAGCGCCATAATGACTGCACCTTACCAACACCCACCATGAGAGAGCGGTCAGGCAAGCGTGACGCACCCGCATCATGGGGGGCGCGGTCCTCCAACGTGTCCCTGGCCCTAATTTATCCTACTTCAACAGAAGTTTTACGGATTTAGATATATTTTTTGGGAAGTCGTGAGCATCTAGATAATTCTAGGAAAATACGACAGTACGTTGGGAAGCGTGCAATCCCGATAGGGAGGACGCTGCGGAGGCCATCCGTTACCCAAGGAGGGATAGATGGCAGAATTTACATATGGACTAGCCCTAAAAAGGGGGAGTACGCATAGCAAAAGAGTGGTTAGCGGGGAGGGAAGACACGGGTCCGCCCAGGGGGGGGGACTTAACCGTGGCTGAATAAGCATATGGGATCGCCTAGTGGGGACCACGCATAGCAGGCACCTTTACCCAAAACGCGGGCTGACCAGCGGGCAGACCTACAACGTAGTGGGCCAGCAAGTGACTCCTCCGCTGAGTCAGTGCTGGGGGCCACGGAGGAATCTGCAGGGCTCACCTGACGGGGAACTTTACTGACAGATAAAAAGGCGCACGTATCTCCGTGTTAGGGAAAATGGCGCAGCAAGCGTGTTTCAACACCCTACCGAATTGTTTCCTCAATCACCAAGGGTTACCTAATACCCTTGAGGAAACCGGCTCCACTCGCAGATTGTAAAACCTTGCAAATGTGTTGGGTGTCACCCAGCCCGCAGCTCTACAGAAGTCTGTTAGAGGGGCGCCGCGTGCGCGCGCTCGAGAGGATGCGAAACTCCGAGTGGAGTGCGCACGCGCTCTCGGGGGACGCGGCTTATCTCGGCTCTGATAGTGAAAGAAAGGCATCCACAATCTAGTGGGAACTTATTTCGGTACGGCACTTCCCTGCTGCCGACCGTTATAACAGACGAAGAGCTGCTCAGATGATCTAAACTCTGAGTGCGGTCCGGATAATACGCAAAACGCGAACTGGACAATAAAGAAGGGCTGGGTCTGCCTCCTCCGAGGGCAGCGCTTGCAGGCTCACTACCTCGTATTAAAACGGAGTGGTAGGAACCTTGGGCACATATCGCGGGCGGGGTCTCAGGACGTGAGAGAAGCCAGCCCAATTACAGGCACGAGTCACTGACCGAAAAATGCCTCCGGGTCCCCGACCCTCTAATCGATATCAACGCGACCAGCAGAGCTGTCTTCAGGGACAGAAAGATACTGAGTCGAGGATCGAAGGGATCTGACGCGGCTTGTGTAGCGAGGGCGAGATCCTAAGAGGGCATGAGAGGGGGCGGGATGGATTAATTCGCTTAACGCCCCTGAGGAACCGGATGATGAGGTTATGCGTTCCCACGGTGCTGCCAGCCACCGCGTTATGAGAGCGGAGATGGCAGCCACGTAACCTTGAGTGTGGAGGGCGACAGCCTGCTCTCCAGCTTCTCTCGGCGTAAAGAAAGCACAACGCTGATCTGGCAAATTACGGGGGTCTTCTCAGCGAGAGACACACCATTCAGTGAATAGACTCCACGTCAGGGCATAGGCGCGCTCGGGGAGGGGGCTCTAGCCCGAGTGACGGTATTAGCCACCGCAATCGGAGGTTACCTAAGTCTTCCTCGCGTCTAAAATCTCTTCAAAGATCGGCGAGGGTGCCAGGTGGTGTCCCTGTCCCTGAGAGAGTAGGTGCTCTCTCGAAGGGACTGCCAGGGGAGGGCTATCGCGAGGGAGAGCTCTGACATCCAGGTCCGGTTGAGCCAGAGGGGCGCAACCAGCAACCTGTTCCTCGTCCTCTTCCTGACCTTGCACAGTAACTGCGCGAGCAGGCTCACTGGGGGAAACGCGTATTTGCGCGTGCCCCGAGGCCAGCTGTAAGCCAGTGCATCCGTGCCGAGAGCACTCGGTCAGGGAAAGAACAACTAGCAATGAGCGATCTCGGGGGAAGCAACAGATCGATCTGGGCTTCCCCGAATCGCGCCCATATCAGCTGAACAGACTCGGGGTGGAGTCTCCATTCTCCAGGACGCAAGGCTGCCGTGAGAGCGCATCGGCTGCACGGTTGAGCTTGCCTTAATATGAATGGTGTGCAGCGATTTCAGCCGCGGATGACTCCAGAGGAGCAGACGGCGGGCGAGCTGAGACATGCGGCGAGAGCGCATACCCCCTATACGGCTGATATACGCCACCGCCGCCGTACTGTCCGTCCTGACCAGCACGTGTTGCCGCTCCAGCACCGGAAAAAAATGGTGGAGAGCGAGGAACACTGCCAACAGCTCCAGGCGATATGCCAATGCACTGGGTACCTTTCCACAGGTCCGCAGCCCCCCAGCCCGTGTTGGAAGTGTCTGCTGAAACGACAACAAGACTGGACGCCTGTTCTAGAGACACCCAGGCCTGTAGGAACGAGGGGTCGCTCCAAGGGCTGAGGGCGCGGCGACACAGCGCAGTAACAGAGACTCGGTGTGCGCGCGCGTGCCATGCGCGTCTGGGGACTCGATCGTGAAGCCAGTGCTGAAGTGGTCTCATATAGAATAATCCAAGCGGCATGAAGCGGCTGCGGATGCCATATGCCCCAGGAGCCTCTGAAATAGTTTCAGTGGGACCACTATTTTACTGTCGAGCTCTCTCAGACAGTACAGCATCAGCTGAGCGCGCTCTCCGGAGAGGCGCGCTGCCATGGTGACCGAGTCCAGCTCCAGCCCGAGAGAAGAGATCCTCTGCACGGGGGCGAGTTTGCTCTTTTCTCGGTTGACCTGAAACCCCCACAGGTGGAAGTGCCAGAGCACTTTGTCTCTGTGCATAATCAACTGCTCTGAGAGAGGGCAAAAATCAGCCAGTCGTAAAGAAATTGAGTATGCAGATGCCCGCGAGCCGAAGGGGCGCTGAGGCACCCTCCGCGGGCTTGGTGAGGACCCGCGGAGACAGAGAGAGCCCGAAGGGGAGGGCTTTGTATTGCCAAGCTCGACCTTCAAACGCAAACCGCAGAAACTGTCGGTGGCGAGGAAGAGTGGAGACATGGAAATACGCGTCCATCAGGTCTAATGCTGCAGACCAACCCAGAGGACGAACGCACCGGAGGATGCGCTTCTGCGTGAGCATTCTGAACGGCAGCTTGTGCAGGCAGCGGTTCAAAACGCGCAGATCTAGGATTGGCCGTGACCCACCGCTCTTTTTGGGCACGATGAAGTGTGGGCTGTAAAACCCACCCTCCATCTCGGCTGGAGGGAGCGGCTCGATTGCATCCTTCGCCAGGAGGACAGCAATCTCCTCTCGCAAGACAGGGGCGGACAGGGGGCTGACCCTGGTGAATACACACCCGTGACTTGGGGGGCCGTTTCGCGAACTGAATCGCATAGCCGAGTCTGATTGTGCGTATGAGCCACCGCGAAGAGCTGGCCCGCGCTAACCAGGCAGGCAGAGCTCTCGCTAATGGACTCATCGCTACAATCGCTGACGTACCAGCAGTGGGGCAGCGCGGAGTGGGTGTGCTGATCCGGGAAGCTCGCGGGTCCCACGGAAAAGCTGGAGGTGAGATATTTGCTCTCACTCCAAACCCGAGCTCCGGAGGGGAGGCTCGAGGGGTGGGAGAAAGGAGACCGTCCTCCCAGCGCTCGTGAGCCACTGGTGAAACGCACCGAATCTGCAAGCTAGAAAGCATAGCGTCCCAGACTGGCAGATTTCGGGCTGTCACATCTGGGGAAGTGAAAAGTGCCCTTTCATTATGTTTTCATGGCAGTAAAAAGTGCCGTTGGAAATGGGGCCCCGCCCTCCAGCGGGGAAAGAGCAAGTTCCCTCTTCTCCAGATGGCCTGTCCCAGGGGCGCTTCGCGGTCCGTTGCCGGACTTAGCGGCGTTCTGGGCAGGGGGGCTGCCTGCTTCCGAGGTGCCCGACGCGCTCGCTTCGCCTGAGGCGTGTGCGGGGGCGGAGCAGCTCTCGTAGGCGGGCGCCTTCGGCGAGGAGCAGGTATGAATGGCACGGCGGGCGGAGCGGGCTACGGACCGCCGATAAGACATCACCCACCAACTGCTCTCTCACCGCCTTGAATTCCTGGGTGAATTCACAGACAGTGTCGCCGAACCTGGCTGGGGGTATGGGGAAGTCAAGAAAGCGGACTTTGTCGACTTTGCGCATATCAGCCAGGGGTGGCGCTCCTGGACCACTAATATGGACATCGTCCTCCCCAACGCACACGCAGCGGACTCAGTAGTCCGAAGAGCTAAGTCGGCGGCGGTGCGAAGCTCGTAAGCCTGGGTTGGACCCACCCTCGTGCAGCTCGGCCAGCGCCTGCGCTTGGTAGCGCTGGTAGGTGGCTATCGCATGCAAGGCGGAAGCAGCCTGGCCCGCAGCTATGTAAGCTCTAGCTCCGAGGGAGGTAGATAACTTACAGGCTTTGGATGGGAGACGAGGCGGACCCCGCCAAGAAGAGGCGCCGCGCGGATTTACCGCCATCGCGCACTCAACCTGAGGAATCGCCACATACCCCCTGGCTGTTTCACCGTCAAGAGTGGTTAGGGTGGAGGAACACGCAGCACGAGCAGAAAAAAGTGCTTTACAAGACCGCGTGAGCCTACTGTGCACCTCCGGGAAGAAGGGAACGCCCCTCTAGTCGGTCCGGCCGCGGAGCTGGGGGATAAACCATCTCCAACCCACGGCCGAAGCAGCCCGGGAAAGCACGGCTAACATGTCCGTTTCAGGATCCGTAGTGACAGCGCTCACCAGCCCGAAGGGGGCGAGCGGGTCTGGATCATCATCGGACAATGAAAGCCCACCCTCCGATGCCGCGGTGGACATCTGGTCTCCGGTGTCATCGGGTGTCATCTGTTAGACGGATCGCTTCCCCCGCCCGAAGCTTGGATGGAGCGCTTAGAGGAGCGGGAGGTCCGCGGGCCCGTGGGCGACGGATTATCTCTCGCTGAAACCCTCAGATCTGCCCGAGTGCCCGCTGCAGAGCAGGGGACAACTGGGGTGGTTCACCCTTTTGCAAAGGCTAACCGCGATCTTGCGCAACAGTCATGGCATCGCAATGACGACATGAACTGCCCGCGAGCAGCGCATTAACATGCTGGACCCCCAGACATGTAACGCAATGCCCGCGCCCATCATCCGAGGACAGGAAACCACCGCATCCAGAAACGCACAGTCGGAGCGCCGTCCTGATAAGGACGTGCTGCACGACTGTGTTGCTCTTTCTGTGAAGTTTGCAACTTTATACGCACCGCTCTGGAGGACCGGACCCAAAGAACGCCAGGCAAGGGAGAAACCCAGCTCGACCGTCTGCCACTGCGTGTACACACTCTGGACCGGGAGAATGCTCTCGTTCGCTCAGAATCGCTGGTCACAGCAGGAGGAACCCTCATCGACTCGATCAGAAAGTCTCTGAAGCGAAAAGGATAGCGTCTGCTGGCGCCAGGTGAGCTTATATACTCAGTTGATTGCTTATGCCGCTCACCTGCGCAGGCTTGCGCTGCCAATTCATTCTTAATTGGCCCGTTCAATACTCTTTCAGACGAGTAGCTTCTGAACCGAACCTCCCAATGCGTGGATTTTACAAATCAAATCCACTTATAGTGCTGAAGTTCCCCCCGAAGGGGAACCAGCTTTTAGGCATGACACAATACATTTTACATAAAATTTGAGTGTCATTTAAAACTGACATGCTCTTGCTGATTTGTCTTTGTGGTTTCTCTTCTCAGAATACAACATCTCAGGTGCTGCCATAGCCCTCTTCAGTCTTGCCTTTGTGATTCTGGGCACTCTGTGTGTGTTGTGTTCTCTCAAAAAGGGAAAAGACTATATGTACAAGCCTGCCGGCATGTTCTTCACTTTTGCAGGTAGGATGGAACTTCCTTCACAGTTTTGAAACAATTCTACACGTCTTTTATAAATCATTTAGATACACATTTAAAAAAACAAATTCTAGATAGTCTATCTGATTACACTATCTTTTTTTAGATTAGTTAAAAAAGGCTATGGTAAAAAAAAAAATCTAGGTTATGTTTTAGATTAAAGACCACAGCTTACACATAAAGAAACCGGATTTAGAGTGTACGTTTTAGTTATAGCATAAATACAATAAAAGTAAAATACATTTGGAAGGATATGAAAGGTTTGATACACAAGGATAACAAGCACCACTTTAATTTACAGTCTGTGTCAGTCAACAGCAATCTGCCTGCAAATGAACTACAAAACCCAGTCATGCAACACATACACACACCTGCTCCATTGAGTCTCCATTGATTACACTTCTACAGATGCAGCTCATGGACAGATTACACACACATATGTACAGCTCAATTTGACACTCTCATGACTCTCTTGAGTCTTGCTATACTGCTTGTGACTATTACAACACGTTTCCTTGCCTTAACTTCCATGTTTTTGAAACTTGCTTTGTTTTGTTTGTTTATTCCTATCTGCTGCCTGCCATTTTGACCATCGGCCTGTTTATTAGACTAAGACTCTGGATTGTCTGCAGGGCCGGAGTGGGACTCCTTTTCAGCCCTGGAGTTTCAAGCCTCAGACCGGCCCACCTCAGTTCATGACTGACTATATTAAAATAAGGTCATTTCCAAATCAGATTCTAATGACACTATCACGTCTTTTTTTTGAGAGAACAGCTGTTTTAGAACTTCAAATGTTCAACAACCCTAACAGTATTATATGTCTTAAATTAAAAAGGAAAAAAATAAATTACTCAGACAGGGATCGAACCCGGGTCTGCGGTGTTGTAAACTAACGCGCCATCCACTGAACCACATCAGTTAATGTTTAAGCATTAAGCTGCGAGAAAATAGATAAAAAGAGTAGAGCTGCGGTAAAATAATGAATAAAAAGGCTGTGGTCAAGTAAATAAATAAATTTAAAAAGTGTGGCTGCTGAGAGCATTAGATTCTGGAGCTAGGGATACCGGCCCTCGCGGCCAAAAAACGGACTGGCAAACCGGGAATTCTCCCGATCCTCCCGATTAGCCAATCCGGGCCTGATTGTCTGTATACATCTGTTTGCTCCTGTGTTGATTGTTGCTTGCCTCACCATCCTGCTAATAACCCTGCGTTTGGATCTGCACCTCTATTGTCAGTGTCCACTTCGCATTACAGACCTCTGTCACAATCACTAGAAATCCAATCCTTACAGATCGCTGGTAAACTCACAGATCACATTGAACTACAAATCTGCTGGTATACAGACTAAAAGATCCTGTCATGCAACACACAAACACACCTGCTCCAAGTCTCCATTGATTACACTCCCACAGCTGATGCTGCTCATGGACTCATTACACACATATATAGAGCTCACTTTGACTCTCTCATGGCAGATCTTCTGAAGTGACGCTGACAACAGGGGTGCAGATCCAAATGCAGGGTTTATTAGCAGTATGGTCAGGCAAGCAACAGTCAACACAGGAGCAAACAGATGTATACAGGCAATCCAGAGTCGTGGTCAATAAACAGGCAGATGGTCGAAAGGCAGGCAGCAGAAAATATGAAATAAACAAAATAAAACAAGGTTCAAACACAGAAGGCAAGGGAAACGCGTAATGTTCACATTCCAGTTCAACAAGACTCAGCCTGTAACAGGGAGACTGACACGGAGGGATCCATTTTGCAGTATTTATTAGACACAGTCAAACACAAACATCCAACACGCACTAAAGTGCGAACACACATCAACAGTAATCAATAGAGGTCGTGGGGCTGGCAGCTGACAGACACAGAGTGATTTACCAGGCATAGATCAGTGGCAGGCGGCGTGGTTCAGAATCCTTAAGACAGGCGTGGGTCGAGGGCAGGCAGCGTGGTTCAGAGTCCATGTATCAAGCAAGGGTCGTGGGCAGGCAGAAGGCAACTCAGAGTCAGAAACAGTCCGGGGTGATGCACAGGAGATCAAGCAGGAAAGAACGCTCAGTAATGCTGGCCGGGGCTAAACAAGGAACTAGTGTTAGAATGTGGCTTATATAGGGAGCGTGGGTCTTTAACGGGATTCAGTTCAGGTGTGTGCACAATCAGTCTAGGTGGATGATGTAATGCTTAGAAGTCCAGGGATGGCGGCCTCTGCTGGCCAGCGAGGGGAATGACTGGGACCGAGTCGGTGACACAGCCATAAGAGTTTTAAAGTGAGCCGTAAAAAAATGTGTGTGTAATCAGTCCATGAGCAGCATCAGTTGTGGGAGTGTAATCAATGAAGACTTGGAGCAGGTGTGTGTATGTGTGTGTGTGTGATTAAGTATGTTGCATGACTGGATCTTGTAGTCCATATATCGATAGATTTGTAGTACTGTGAGTTTACCTGTGATCTGTAAGGATCAGTGTTAGGCGTAATGCGTTACAAAAGTAATGTATTACAGCAACGTATAACTTTTTGCTGGAAACGCAGTAGTGTAAGGCATTACTAACATATTTTCAGTAATATTTTACATGTTCAGTAACGCTTGCGTTACAACAACTTTTTGCCCACAAGACATTAACAAATAAAAAACACTGCAAGTAAGTTCTATGTCCTGTTTGTGGTTAGTGAATATACGTGTGTGTTGTCATTAATCTCCCTCTGGCTATTGAAACTTTTTCCTTTGAACGTGAAATGATTTCAGCCTCTGAGCTTGAGGTCCGAGGCTATTGGCTCAGCCCAGTTTGCAGCAACAGAAAAGAAGTAGTTGAAAATGGTAAAAGACAGTACATTCGCAAGATGGACGTATGCACATATTTACAAGTCGAGAGTGCATTCATGTAATACGAATGAGCGGATCCCTTTGCTCATGCGCCCGTTTCCTCTGTTCGTGGACAAAACTGCTTGCAAGCTCTCAATATAAGCTGCTCGCGCGTATATAAATATATTCAAGCTATTCAGAGAGATTGCCAGATAATTACTTTACCTCTACCATTCTTTTGACAGACTTAGATCATTTGTGATTCTAACTGTCATCCTTTCTTGCATTGTCTTGAGCCTTCACATTGTCAATTATAAACTATATTGTTAGTAGTCTGGTCACTGTCGTTATGCTACATCTTATCGCTTTCTACTGGATGAAAAATGCTCTTCAGTTTACATTTGGTCATTTTAGAATGTTAAGTTCTAATTCTGTAGTTATTTTGGTGAAAATAACTAAAAAGTAATATAAGAGTAATGTAACATATTACAATTCTGAGACAGTAATATTGTAAGGTAAGGGATTACTTTTAAAAAACAGTAACAAGTAATGTGTAATGTATTAAAGTTTGGAAATAACTTGCGCAACATTGGTAAGGATTAGATCGCTGGTGATTGTGATAGTCTGTAAGCTTAATTTTTTTCTTGTTTCACATTAGTTAAAGAAAATTTTTTTTAATTAGGCTTAGTCTTGCCCATTTTTAATTTTGCTTAACTATCCCATCCGTTTCATTATTAAACCTAATTTCTTTCTTTTGAATTCATAACATTACCGATTACCGGTTCTGATTTCCAACAAAATTGAAGCACAGACCATGCTGACCAAATTCTGATTGAATTCAAGTTGATTTGGCGAACTGGTTTAGAATAACTGGCAAATAAATTTAACGTAGAGCTTGTGAAAATTGACTTAAGTTGTTATTTCCGTAATACATATACATATTCACATCAAACTTGGTGGGTGTTGGGCAACCCATTGCCCAAAATTCATAAATTAAAAGTCAAATGATGTCTGATTTTCTCAGGTCAGCCATTTTTGCTATATTTTACGGATGCATTGACGAATTGTTATAAAAATTGGTTTTGTCGTAGCTCAATATTTAAAGATAATTACACCAAATTTTAGGTCTGTCATTGTTGCCTCACACTGACCACACCATAAAACTTTTGTGACAGTGCCACATATGGGTAAAAAGTTATAAGACATTTTTAACCATTTTTGATGAATTACAATTTTACTTACAAATTTGATCTCAAATTATTCTTTGGGTGATGCCGACAACACGGATACCAATTATGAAACATTCTGCCAAACTTCCTGTCTGCCATTTTGCTTTTGTTCAAACCATTCTTTGTTGAACTCCTCCTAAACCATTGGTCCAATATTCACCAAATTGGTTGAATTTGGTTGCACTTGGATCATCTTCAGACCATGTAGACCAAAAGTTATGCAATTATGTCGATAGACAAAACTGTTGTCATTTAGCATATGCGCAAACTTGATGTAATGCTGTCAGATGACATTACAGGCTGAATCACTGCAATGGTTTGAAATATTGAAACCAAACTTAATGTGTGTGATCTAGACCTGATATTGACCAAACTACGTCAGATTGCACCACCTTTTGGGTAAAAATTATTAACAATTAATTTATATCAATAGAAATCATAAAAAAATGTAACAAATGACTTTTGAATAGTTTTGTCTATTGTCATTAGACTGGTCTTGCAGATTCCTTGGATAATACGGAGAACACAGATATAATTTATTTCCTAATTAACACAACTTCCTGTCCACCATCTTGAATTAATTTGAAAATAGGTTGTTTTGAACTCTCCATAGATCCTTAGCCCAATTTCCACCAAATTTGGTGCAGACCATGCTGCCAAAAAGTTCTAGAATTTTCCTGTTGCTCTATAGCTGTTACCGTGCTTGTATATGATGTGTCCGCTGGACTGGTTGGCCCCAATAATTGCTGCTTGCAGCTATATTTATATTTACGTCTGCACTTGCCTGTACCTTTTGCAAGCTCATGTCGCCAACACAAGTTCCTTAACTTTGAAGCTTTTATTATTATTCTGACTCTAATTGAAATCTGCTTGTTTCCCTAAAACATTCATATTGTTTTCTTTTGTATGTGTATAGTAAATGTGTCCATTTTAAAAACAAAACCTCTTCTTTCCTGTCCTCAGGTCTGTGTGCCTTCATATCAGTAGAGGTAATGCGGCAGTCAGTCTTGAGGATGATAGCCAGCGAGCATACAATCTGGATTGAGTATTATTATTCCTGGTCTTTTGCTTGCGCCTACACGGGTTTTGTCCTGCTCCTCCTCAGTGGAATCTGTCTGGTACTGGTCTCCATGCCACAGATGCCTAGAAATCCATGGGAAAGCTGCATGGACGCTGAGCCTGAACAGATGTAGATTAGGAAAAGCAGATGCCAGAAGGTAAACCACTGCCTCGCCAAATAGGCCTCTTTGATACAGTAAGAGTGCTCGACAAACAGATGTCATAAAACTAGCTCAGCAACTTTCTTGTTTCCCCCACAAAGTGGCATGAAGAATATAAATGTGCCACACATTCTTGTCATGCAAGCAAGTAGCTAAGCTTTTCAGTCTACTATTATTATCATCATCATCGAGTATCCATGTTTAAAAACATGATGTATAAAATCTCTAAAATGCAATATGAAGAGTGCAGCTGGCATTGTGAATTTTGAGTAATGATGTGGTGGTTTAAATGGAGAAGGGTTGCATAAGTATTGTGTTTGCTATAACATTTTGAAGGAACGAAGGAAGGATTTATGTTTAACAACATATTTCAAGGATTATGTACTGTTGGTTAATTTGCACTAGCTTGCAGATAGGTAATTCAAACATCAACAAGCAATGACGTAATGCCACAAGATTTTGCTTTACAGATAGCATCAGTCATGTCTTGTAAATTAATTTAGATTTGTTTAGAAGTAAAAATTCTACTTTTATCCTTGATTTTTATTATAGTCATTTTAAAGTACTTTACTTTTGCCTTTTTGCCCTTTTGGACACAGTGATGCTCTGAACTGCTCTGAGCAGAATGCAAATGCTTGGTCTGCTGCGGTTGCTGAATGCTTGGCCAGACATTTTGGAATATTTTCAGATCTTGCAGGTGCAAAGAAAATGGCATCATTCTAACTCTTATGTGAAGCTGTAAAATATCTCTGAGATCGTCCAAGTCTATGGCTTCCTGAAATGCACCCGCAGACAAGTCTGAAACAGATAGGCATTTAGTCATTTCTGTGTAAAGTCTGTAGAAAATGTTTCGCTTTGTATTTATGCTAAGCAGACTTTCTTTTGTACATTATAATTAGCAACAATAAATAGTTTAATTTGGTAACTTGCAACTAATTTCTCTCTCTCAGGACATTTTGTAAACTGTCTTAGAAATGCCCTTCATGATATCTAAAAAAAAGATATTAAAATACAAGAAAATAAATTTGGTGTCACTTATACAATTTTATCAGGCCTTTTGCCATTTAAATTAGATGTTATACTCAGTGGATAATAAGCTAAATACAGACAAAATGGCAGACAACAAATAAAAAAGCACCTGTAAAAATATTGTAAACAAAATGAAAGAAACAAAGAAAGTTAGTTTTGGGTTTTGTGGTGGCTGTTAGAATGTACCTTTATATCTCAATTACTACATGATGAGGCAAATGCTTCAATCAAGTTTATTTTGACAGGAAATACTGTATTTATTTCTTTTGTTGTTGTGCGCATGCAGAACAAGCATATCTGCTCAACAGAATATCTGTATTTCTGATGTTACAAACCCATGTTGTGTATTTCTAATAAAACAAATACGCCAACTCTCATGTTCATTTATTTCAATTTATTTCATGCTCATCTGTTTATTTAGTTTCTCTATATCATTATAGGCTACAGTTAAATAACAATTCACTGTAAGAATTTTAAACAAAGCAACATTTACAAAATGTTTCATTTGTTGTGTGTTAATAGATAAAAGAGATGCTTTTAAAGGGCACCTATTTTAACTTTTTTATATTTAATATAAATCTTCTGTGTCTCCAGAATGTAAAGTTTCAGCATAAAGTACCCATTAGATAATTTATTATACTTTTTTTAATCTGGGAAATTTGAGCTGCTATAACATTGTAGCTGTTTTTGTTGCATGTGCCTTAAATGCAAATGAGCTGGTTTTCCCCGCTCACCTTTGCCATTTGTGTGTCAGAGCATTAAGGGCGTCACACACCGGATGCACCGCTCAGCGCTGCAACACGGCGCGCACATGACAGTTGAAGGTTTCACACACCAGACGCGCACATTTGCATGGTATTTAAAATTAAACTATTCAGATGGCGCTCTGTGGCTCGGCAGAAATATGAACAGTATCCTGAGTCATGACTGGGCACTGCAGACAGCTGCCGACTTGCAGAGCCGGTGTGTGTACCCTGATAGAAACCTATGTTTAGAATTCTAAAATGCATGGCACTGCGTGGCGATACGTGGTGTGTCGCTGAGCGGCGCTTCTAGTGTGTGACCCCCTTTAGGCTTCACAAAGACAAACAGCACAGTGACAGACAAGAATGAAGCAGATCTCCCTTACCGCAGTAAGAACTTACCCAACAGTTATTTGTTATATTTGTTGTGGAGTTAATTCAAGCCTTTCTGCAATGATGAATCACACATAATGTTGTAATAAAGTAAACTGTTTTAGAACTGCAAATGTGACAGGATACACGTTAATATTCACAAAATAAACCTGATTTAAGTCCACAAATTGTGATTGAAGCATCTTCTTTTATAATTGTACTGACATGCGGCTGTGGTGATGAATTACAGCCCATTTTACTGTCTTTATTACAAACATGCACTGATTTAAAAACATTTTAAACTTGTAAAACTCATCCTTGATCACATTTGATGATGGTTGGTGACCACAGTGAGCTGAAAAGATCTTTTAATCCTAGTTACTTTGCGCACACCCTTTCTTGGGGATATGATTATACGCATTAGAAATTTGGATTTATATGAGTGGGGGGTTTGGATTCTATTTTTAAAAACTTTTAAAAAAGAGACACTGTGTTTCTAGCTATTACTCCCGTATGACAGTAAACACACTATACCTACACACAGTTCTGTCCAAACAGCTTACAAAAGTTTATTTTCATGATAAGTGCCCTTTAAATATACCATTCATAAACCATACATAAACTACGTTTCAAGATATAAATGTATCAATTACTTTGTTTGAACTCTTAAATTATTTTATATTTGACTTATTAATGTTATATCATATAATAAGATACATTTCTGTCTCATATTGATTATTTCACATTACTGCATGTGTACATGTAAATAATAATAATAATAATAGATAAAAATAGCACATATAATGCACAATTTATGAATATGAGGTGTTATTCTCATGAGAGATGTCCAGTGCCCACATTAGTTGTCCCAGCTGCTGACATATCTTCACATGGATACTGCTGTTTATTTTCTGTGTAGCCATCTGGGAATTTTCTGGACACAGACATCAAGGCTCTAGAGAAATCTTTTATGGGGTCTTTTTTAGCCTTGTGGGATGCCAGCTGGGCAGAGGTAGGAACAGATAAGTCCTACATAAACTGCTTTTATTTATTATTATTATTATTTTTTTTTTTTTACATTTTATTACAGTTGTTTGATTACATTTATGCAATTAAGCCTTCTATTGACTTAGGGGTCAATGAACCCAACAATACAAAAAAATGAACATTTTTTTATTGTCATATTTTCATGAAGGCTATAGGCATGGGGTACAATGATTGACTTCTTGGGGGTAAATTTTGATCCGCCAACAAAAACATTTTATTTTAGAGGTTTAGTAAAGAAGGGTCATTTTTTTACCCTTAGGACAATTGGAATATAGGGTAAAGTTACAGTTAAAAAAAAACATTTTGTCATCATTAATTGGCATCATTGGCTTGCATGGTTCAGGATTGGTAGAGCTACTCATCGATGAATTTGCTCCAGTGTTTGGACTCTCAGTAATGACTTTAAACCACACTGAACTGAGCTACACTGATCTGAACTTAAACACTAAAAACTGAACTATCCTGATCCAGTTACTATGATTATTTATGTGAAGCTGCTTTGACACAATCTACATTGTAAAAGTGCTATACAAATAAAGCTGAAGTAAATTGAATTGAATTTACTTGCCCTCCATTTTTTTTTAGTTCTTTCTTTTGGAACCACTTCAGGGTGTGAGTAAATGAGTAAATTACTATTCTTGGGTGAACCATCACTTTAAGAATACATTTTTAATCAATTTTAGATTAAAAAAAAGGACTTTCTGATAAAAATAAAAAGCTCTTCCTACAATTATTTGTGTTGAATTATAATCCCCTCACTGCTGTTCCTCTCTCATGCATTAGTTAATGATTGGAGGGAATTCGCCCTCTTCAGTGTCAGCTGTTTTTTTGCCAGGCTCCCTAATAGTTAGCATTCCTCTGACAAAGCATCACAGATGGCAGAATTTACATTGAGCATGCCGAACATCAAGACACTTTTATGAGTTGGCAACATTAGTCACAGGTGTGTTAGATGCACACATGCAGACAGTGTTAATTAGCAATTTGTCATTTCAGTGTAACTGTCAGATGGTAAAGTCTAGAAGGGAGACAGCTGTGGATACTCGGGCATGTGCACGTTGATATCACATCAATTTTGTACACTGTACAAGAATAATACCTATTTTTACATTACCTTGAGGGGTAGATTTAGCATTGCGTAGGAGTAGAAGTTAATAAAACACAATGTATTAGGTAATTTAATAAATAATATACATAATTGTCCATAAAGTGTTTAACATAAATGTCTGGGAGGATGAAGGCAGATGACCAACTGTCAAAGGGAACTTCATAATAAGTGTCTTTAAAAGAATGTACATATACAGTTGATGTCAGAATTAATAGCCCCCCTGTTTATTTTTCCTTATTTCTGTTTAATAAAGAGAAGGTTTTTTTCAACACATTTCTAAACATAATAGTTTTAATAACTCATTTTTAATAACTGATTTATTTTATATTTGCCATAATGACAGTGAATATTAATTGAGTAGATATTATTCAAGACACTTCTATACAGCTTAAAGTGACTTTTAAAGGCTTAACTAGGTTAATTAGGTTAACTAGGCAGGTTAGGCTAATTAGGAAAGTCATTGTATAATGCTGTTTTTTTCTGTAGACTATAGAAAACAAAAATAGCTTAAAGGGGCTAATAATTTTCACTTTAAAAAATTAAAAACTGCTTTCATTTTAGCAGAAATAAAACAAATAAGACTTTTTCAAGTAGAAAAAATATTGTTAGACATATTGTGAAAATTTCCTTGCTCTTTTAAACATCATTTGGAAAATATTTTTAAAAAGAAACAAAAATTCAAAGGGGGGCTAATAATTCTGACTTTAACTGTATCTAAGTCAATGCACTTATTATATTCATTTTGACATTGTACTTATATTTAAAAATATTTTTTTTCCTGTAATAACATCTATAATAAATAGGGTGGCACTTTATTTTTCTGTTCTGTTTACAGTTAATACTATGCATTTATAATAATTGCATAAACAGGGTTTTAAGTTATGTAAAAAAAAAGTTTGATCAGGTGTGTTTAATTAGGGTTGGAACTAAACTGTATAGAGCTGCGGCCCTCCAAAAACTGAGTTTGACACCTGTGATTTGAAGGGTACATATTGGTTCCTCAATGGAACTTTTTTTAATCGAGAAATTTAGAGAGGTGCACTTTTTTTTAACTTTTAGGTACAAATGTGGTCCTTTTGAAAATGTCCAGCCCAAGGACAACTCTATCATTGTTTCTGAGGTCTTTAATTCTACCCATAAACCTAACCTTAATGTAATTGCTTTATATAACCAAGATATTTTTAAGTAATAACACTTTAAGTGCACATTAATTACATATGCTGTAAAATAAAGTGCGAACATAAAGTGTTACCCACCAATGAGCTTTTTTTCGCTCAACATTAAAGACGCATTTCCATCTTCCTATGACATGACAGTTATAAAGTCATTCTGAGTGCCAGCTTGTGCTGCACATTTGCAGACTTTAAAATAATATCAATAATGATAATGGGATAATCTAATCATAGAAAAGTAGGAGCACATAAGATGGACATAAAAGCTTATGGATATATGTGGATTCATGTGCTCTATCTCCTTTCTCTCCCCACAATTAAATCAAAAGCATCCTCTACTTCCACCTAGTGACACAAGGCAGTTATTACCACTGAGAGAGAGCGAGAGAGAGAAAGAGAGAGGGCCTTTTACGCCATTAAAAAATCAACACAAATAGAAATTCCAATTCGAATCTGGCTTAAAAATTTTCCAGTCAGTGATTGAACCTATAGTTTTATATGGGAGTGAAGTGTGGGGTCCTCTTTTCAGTCATGAGTTTGATAAGTGGGATAAAAATCCAGTTGAAAGCCTACATGCAGAGTTCTGTAGGAGCATCCTTAGGGTACAGAGGGACACACCCAGCAATGCATGCAGGGCAGAATTAAACCAGTATCCTCTACTCATGCGCATTGAGAAACGATGCGTTAAATTTTGGAAACACATTAAAATGAGTGACCCCAACTCTTACCATTTTAAAGCCCTCAAAACCCAAGAAATGGACATTGAAAAAAGCCCCCTGATTAAGATGGTCCTGAAGCTGCAAACACAAACCAACACAACGAATATGACTAACAGCAGGAAGCATCAGGACACGGACATGCTCATTCACAAAATTAAGCCCAATCAAATTATAAATGCATGAAGAGTATCTGATTTACTGGAATGAACC